ACCCTCTCCAAAAATTAAAAACTGATAATAGAAATTGAAGAAGATATAAAAATCTGGTGAGTCATTCCTACCTTTAAGATGGCCGTGAGAATTGAATGTACAGGACTTAACATCTGGCACACTAATAAATGCTAGTTTCCTTCCAGACGAGATTCATCTTGATAATATAGACAAGTTCTAGAGATTGTTTCTAACTATGTTCAACATCGTCTTTATTTAGGTATAATTTACATACAATAAAATGCATCCATTTTAAGTGCTCATTAAAATGCATAACTGTTAATGAGTCTGATCTATCATTTTAAATCCCCGAGTTCTGCTTAGTACTGTGTAGTGGTATTTTTTTTGGGCAGATGAGTAATGAACACTACATTTGAAGTTCTGCAGTTATTAAGGTTTGCGTGGGGTGCACTGGCAGAGCAGTTCAATTAAATTGATCCAAATACATGCTATTAAAGAGGATTTTTGTGTGTGTGTCTGTGCGGGGAGAGGGAGTGGGCTTATTCCAGTGCATGGAACATTAGTGAGAATGGTCTTGTTAATTGATATACTCAAAGGCCAATTTTCTTTGCATTTGCACAATTATTCTGACGTGATAATGGAAGATGCTCAAGATATTTACTCCTAGATGAAATTACTGACTTGTAGAGCTATTAAATTACTTGAAGAGTGGTAAGTAAGGGGGCCAGTAAGTGGCGCGGTGGTTAGACACTATACTCTCACATGGTCAACTGCAGTTCAAGTCCCGGACCTGGCAGTTTGAAACTCACGCCAGGTGCATGTGTGTGCGTGCCCAAAATCCTGCGAGGAGAACACAGACAAAGGGATTGCGGTGTGGCCATCTCCCCCTGGGAGTTGATTTCTTTTTCTTTTTGGAGAGGTTTTTATTATAGGGGTGCGTGCACGTGCCAGAAAGACAGAGAAAGTGAAAAATCACACACACACCCCCCCGGGGGGATGGCCACGCTGCCATCCCTTTTCCTCCATTCTCCTCACAGTATCTTGTGCACGCACACATACACACGCCTGGCATGAGTTTAAGCCACCAGGTCCGGGACTTGAACCGTGGTCGACTACATGGGAGTCCAGCGACATAGCCATTATGCCAAATGCTGGTCCAAGGTGGTTGATTCCTTGATTTCTGTCTCTCTGTATCTTACTGTCTCTCTGGCAAGTACATGGACCTTAAAGCAAAAAAATCTCTGTCCAAAAAAAAGAATGGCAGGCAGAAGTGCAGGGACAATGCAGGCGGGACCATCCCACACGGGAAAGGGCCTGGTTTGCATCCCGGCACCTTCCCGAGTACACTCAGCATGCGTGTGCCCAGGCTCTGGGCTGGCTGTGTCTAGGAGTGGATTGTAGGGTGTAGGCCTTTTTCGGGGTGTTCGTGTCTTTGTTTCCCTCACTCTCACTGTGGTTCCCTGTTTCTCATGGAAGAAAAAAGTAAGTAATAAAACCAGATTGGTGAACAGTCTTCCTTCCTTCCTTTGGTGAGCAATCTTTTTTTTCCCTTTTGTGAATTTTAATGAAATGTTTAGTTTACTGACCTTTGCAGAATCAAGAGGCAACATAAGATTCTCTTAGGCAAATAATCAGTGTTTTTCTCTTGTAGTGTCATGAGCAGCCCTGTAGGATCTCCAAGGACGCAGGCCGTGCTTCTGGAAATCCTGGAGTGCTGGTCTTGAGTTAGAGGATTATTACTCTCTTCTCAGCGAAAACTAACTGTTGTCATTAATGCTATTATATCAAAATCGCATCTTACGGTTGTGATTTACTGACCAAAATGTATTGAGTCACTTTGGTGTGGGTGGGGCCTGGGAAACTAAAGTCAAACCAGTGACGGTCTTTCTAGGGGTCTCGGTGGAACAGCCAGGCGTGGGAATTCCTGACTTAGTGTTGGTCAGGAGACTTCTAACCGTGTAAGAACAGTATCTATAACTGGGCTCCTAGAGAGGGCCCCATGATCAATCATACTTCGAGTTGTACCCATATCTGATTTAGGAGACATTTAGAGGATTCTTTTGACTTGAGACGTCAGCACTGGGGCTGGAACCAGACTTCTAGGGCTTTTGGGATGGGATGAATACATTCTACAAATGAGAAGGACATGAATTTTGGAGAACCAGGAGTGAACTGTGGGTTGAAGTGGGTCCTCCCAAGATTCCTATAACCTCCAATGGTAAGAGGAGAGGCCTTTGGAAGATTTAGATGACATGAGAAGGGTGGGGCCCTCATAGTTGGATTAGTGTCTTTATAAGAAGATTTCTATTGATATAGTCTATAGCTCAGAGGTTCTCTTCAGCCATGTTCAGTCACTAATGAGCCTATCAAAGGCATTCATTTCTGTTAGAGTCTTTTTTGATCTATAGCATTTCTTTTTAAAAAATAATTGAATTTTATTTATTATTTTAAATTTTGCTGTAGGACACATGCCCTCACCAGAGAGAGAGGAAAAAGTGAGAAAGCAAGCCACCAGGTCAGGATTCGAACTGCCGTTGACCATGTGAGAGTCCAACCCTTAACCACCTCGCCACTTGCTGGCTCTTCTTTTTGATTCTTAGCATTTCCACTTCTCTGCGTACATTACCTACCCTTGCATATTGTCTACTTTTTCCATCAGGTTCCTCAGCATTATTTTTCCAAGGACTTATTTTAAAATAAACATTGAAGTTTCCCTCCACTCCCTGCCACCTTATACAACTTTTGAATGTGGAATGTGCCACAGCCTATATATATATATTTTTTTTTTTGGCAAGTTATAAAACCAGGCAGAACTCCAGATATCTTATGATGAATGTTTGAGAATGGTTTGTTTTTGTTTTTAAGTAGCTGAGCACCTACTGGAAAAATTCCTCAGCTAAAGACTGGAAATAAAATTTAGGGACCAGCAGTTAGCGTAATGGCTATGTCGCTGGACTCCCACGTAGTTGACCGCGGTTCGTATCCCGGACCTGGTGGCTTAAAACTCACACCGGGCACGTGTGCATGCATGCCCAAGATCCTGAGAGGAGAATGGAGGAGAAGGGATTGCGGCGTGGCCATCCCCCCCCCCCGGGGGGGTGATTTCTCGCTTTCTATCTCTCTGTCTCTCTCTGTCTGTCTGGCGAACGCATGAGCCCTATAGCAAAAACCTCTCCCCCCCCAAAATTTAATTTTTGCCCCCCAAATTTAACTTAGTAGGCTTTGCCTAACAGGTGGGATGAATTCACCGTGAAGTCCAAGTGGAGTGGGACCCAAGCAGCACTGAGTCACAGGCACACAGAACGCGTGCCCGAACTGCTCTGCACACAGGGCTCGCCGCTGCTCAGCTGTCCATCCCTGTCACGTCCGAGACTCTTAGCCGTGCGAATCATCATCTTAAGAAGCACCTGGTCAGATCATTCCAATATTCCTGCCATCATCCGAGCCTGGTTCTGATGCTTGCTTGGCTCGTCAAACTGTGTTGTTGCCTTTTAGTATGCTTTATAAGTTCTTCTGGCCAGATAGAGTGTATCGGGGAAAAGGCACTCCAGGGGCTAGGCCTTTAGTGATGTGGTGGAAGGTGTGGGGGAAGAGGACGTGTTCTCTGGGCCTGCAGTGAGGTGCTGTGTTTGGTGAGCCTTGGCCTGTGAGCTGCACAGGTGCGTCCCTGAGTGTCTGCTCGGGGGGTACAAGTTGGCTGGAGCGCTGGAGTTGCGTATTTCCCTTCTCCCCGGTCAGCTGGGCTCTGATAAAACCCCGATAGGTTAGGCTCTGGTGAAATAGTTTTCCCTGACGGCAGGCTTTGTTCAGAACAGTCCTCCGGCTTGTCTCAGAAGTCGGTTTTCCTCTTGCCTTGCCAGAAGGACTAGATGTTTCTTCCATGTTCACGGAGACCCTGGTAGAAGTCCTGGAGCTTTACAGAAGCGTGAGGCTCTGTGACCCCGTGATGGGGTCCCCCCTGGAATTTACAACTGAGTCCAGCCAGTCTCCCATCAGGGCGTCGGGCCCTGGCACTGACGCCAGCACGGGCCTGTGCCCTGCTGGCTGTGGAGGTCCCACTCGGGTTCTGCTCTGGTAAATCGTGATTCTCCGTATCCGGCTGTGTCCCCAGCTTGGGGGACAGTGGTTTGCCCAGTGAGCTCGCTTTTCTGAAGGAGCTAAGAAGAGTTGTTGGTATTCAGTTTTTTTGTTTTTGTTTTTGTTACCGTTAGGACAGAGTGGCAACTTACAGGCCCCTTAAGTGCCCCTGTTCATGTCTGCTTCCCAGTAGAGCTTAACCTGTTGTCTGTTTTATCCACTTTTTAAAAAAAATTAATTTTAATTATTCATTTATTTTAATTTGATGAGAGAGAGAGAAAGTGAGAAAGCAAGCCACCAGGTTCCAGGACTCGAACTGTGGTTGGCTATGTGAGAGTGTCCAGCGCCTTAACCACCACGCCACCTGCTGGTCCTTGTTTAATCCATTTTTTAAAGTATTCTTTCACTTTTCCTCCTGGGTATTCTTAGCTTTTCTTTTGTTTGTTTGTTTTTTAAGAGATTTTTGCTATAGGACATGTGCGTCCGCCAGAGAGACAGAAAGCAAGAAATCACCTGGGGGGGATGGCCACACCACAGTTCATTGTCCTCCATTCTCCTCCTCCTCCTTAGGATCTTGGGCACGCACGCACATGCACCCAGCCTGGGTCTGAAGCTACCAGTCCAGAACTTGAACCACAGTCGACTATGTGGAAGCCCAGCGACGCAACCATTACGCCATCTGCTGGTCCCCTCCTGGGTATTAGCGAGGCTGGCAAAGCTTATTTATTTGGTGGGTCTGTGCACCGCTGGGGTTATTCTGTCTCCTCCTCCTCACCTGAACAATCTTTTTTTCCTACATTTAATTACTGTACATTGGCATTGTATGTCCCCACTTAATATATACCTCATGCCTGCACTTGGCAGAAACTGGAAGATTGGAAGGTATAAAAAAAACAGGAGAGTAACTTTAGATACTGAAATCTATTTTTTAACAAGGCCCTTAACTCTGCTGAGGTCGGGCTAGCAGTAAATTAGCCGCTCTGTGGTACCAGTCTGTTAGCCCAGTCAGCTTCCTCTCTGGGAGGGTGTTTTTCATCCCTTGGGGTGTGGCAAATTTATGCCTGTTTCCTCCTTAAATCGTTAGGACTTAATGACACCAAATTGTACTATAATTGCCTCACCACTTTGTTAGCTCCTTGAAGCCCAGAACCTTCCCCCCATGCTGTTCTGTTCTTAGCGCTGCCACAAAAGTGTGTGTTAAATGTGCCATGATGGGGACCAGCAGTTAGCGTAATGGCTATGTCGCTGGACTCCCACGTAGTCGACTGCGGTTCGAGTCCTGGACCCAGCGTCTTAAACTCACACCGGGCATGTGTGCGTGCGTGCCCAAGATCCCAAGAGGAGAATGGAGGGGAAGGGATTGCGGCGTGACCATCCCCCCTGGGGGGTGATTTCTTGCTTTCTGTCTCTGACTCTCTCTCTCTCTCTGGTGAGCGCATGCTCCCTATAGCCAAAACCTCTCAAAAAAAAAAAAAAAAAAAAGGCATCATGGAACAAAAAAAAAAAAAAAAAAAAAAAGTGGCATGATGGACATCTCCACAGTTAGGACGAAGAAGTCCCTACTCGGGTAACCTGTGTGTACGTTTTTTCTTAACATCTCTGCGTGTGTATCTTATTTCCAAATTTCTATCTCGGTGGTCGGCAGTAGAGACACCTGGCATGTTTACAGACTCCTCGGCTCAGGCCTTACGAGTATGCGTCCTTTGTTTTTGAGGTGGAGAGTACAGAAAGTAATAGGTGTTGCTTATGGAGTCGCAATATCCTGGGGACTCTATATTTAATGTTTCCTTTTTCCTAAAACTACTGTTTAAAATTACACGGGTAAGTGTGCATAGAGTATAGGTACTAGAAATTTAGTATTACAAGGACGTACCTTAGTGGACGGAAGCCCCCTCTGGGTGCAGGTCCGGTTTTGTTGGAAGTCGGGTCCCGTATTGCTAATTCAGCCTCGTTTACCTGTCGCGTGGCCTTTTGTGTCTTTCCAGACTGCTCTCTCTGTATCAGGAAATTCCTGTCCTATAAAACCCAGTGTCCAACTTGTTGTGTGGTAAGTTGTTATTCCTTCTCCTTTTAAAACTGATTGCTTGGTGCAAATATTTCTGCTTTGTGTATGGGACAAAAGCCCACAGGAATTAGATTATAAAAAAAAGTTTAAAGACATTTTCAGAAAGATCCTCCGTAGTAGGAAAACTGGACTTTGTTCAGTGTTTTTATTAAGGTTTCTTGATAACCTAAGTCTATATTAGCAAGTAAAAATGAATTTTTAAAAAGAGTTATTTAATTTCATTTAGCATCATTCTTTACTTTGGCCAGAAAGACAAAGACACAGAGAGAGAGAGAGGGAGGGAGGGAGCCGCCAGGTCCAGGACTTGAACCATGGTCAGCCCATATGTAAATCCAGTACCTTAACTACCCTGCCACCTGCCAGCCTGGTACAAATGAATTTTAAGATCAGGACATAGTCTTTACTTCTGAGGACCACGGCTCTCATTGTGCGTGATTTCTCACTGTTGGTGGGATCTCTGATAGGATTATCGTTTTGCGGAGGACAGGAGTACATGTTTGTGTAGGCGCTAGAGATCCCATGGCTTTTGGGCTTAACCCAGCCCCACTGGCCCCTTACCTCTTCCCCTAGCCAGACCTCCAGAGAAAACACCAGGAAACTTATCATCATTTCTGAAATGTTAAAGGAGTGAGAACAGGTGGAGAGCTAGATTAGTAGAGAAATTAAACATACGTAGGAATCAAGAAAGGAGGGACAGCAAAGTCGTAACAGGACACTGGACTAGTTAAAGGGTTTGGCTGGTCTGGCCCCTCTCTGGTAGGTTACTGGTGTCAGGGCTGGTCAGGACTATTTCCCTGTGGAAGAAATGGTGCGGTTTGCTCCTGAGTCTGGTCTGGACAGCTAGACTACATTGCCTTTGCCGAGATGCCACCATCACGGAGATCCGCTGGTGACTGTTCACGCCAAACATCCCGGGTTTGCCATGTTTCTCTTAATTTCCTAAAAAACAATCTTAATTTAAACTCACTGAACCCTTAATGCTTTTTTTAAAAAAAAAATTACTTATTTTATTATTATTTATTTTTAATTTTACCACAGGGAGACAGAGAGAGAGAAAGGGAAAGTGAGAAAGCAAGCCCCGTCAGGTCTGGGACTCAAACCATGGTTGGCCACGTGTGAGTCCAGCACCTTCACCACCACGCCACCTGCCAGCCCTGTGCTAATATTATTACTTAAAAGAGCATCTGTCTTCTGGTTTTCAGGAGAGTTTTTGGGAGAGCTGAGTGCTGGCATTTTGAAGAAAGGTTTTCTTTTCTCCTATTAGGTCGTTATCTTAGTCAATACAGAACATATTTGATTTAAACAAATACTTCGGAGAACTTCGATTATATTTCCAGTCTTCCGATGCTGATTCACTGTTTAAAATTCTGTATTAGTATGAGATAGGAACTTTATTTTGAGACTTTCCTGGAAGACTTAGTGGGATGGGAGCCTCAGGAGAATGGATTTTTCAAAAACAAGATTATGACAAGTTAATTATCGTTCTTGACCTTTTTCCATCTGCTGTTTTTCTTTTTTAGACAGTCACAGAGCCGGACCTGAAAAACAACCGTGTATTAGATGAACTGGTAAAAAGCTTGAATTTTGCACGGTATGATTTAATTTTGTGACTAACCTCTAACTATTGCTGTGTCTTTTATGCGTCTGCTCTTTGTGTACTTTTGATCCGGGGCTGCAGCGTTGCATGTTTAAGAGTAAAAGAAGGGGAGCGACATTAATCTGTATTTACACGTGGAGAATCTAATAGTATAAGGATTGTTCTCCCTTTCTGTAACAGAAATTCTCCTGTTAGGAGGATTATTTAAGGAGGCCTTCCTCGCTTTTGGGTGCTATAAAATGCTCCCTGTCCATTTTGTGTTTTTCTCGTCCTAGCCGAGGAATCAGCTCTTTCTCCTAGGAACCTTGCTTCCTGTGCTTGGAGAGTGGTAGTTAGGAACCAGAATCTGGTGCCGCGTGTGTAGCATTGCTGTCTCAACAAACTGTCAGGTCCGGGACTCAAACTATGGTTGGCCACGTGTGAGTCCAGCACCTTAACCACCAGGCCACCTGCCAGCCCTGGGCTAGGCTGTCTCAACAGAGAGCTAGGTAATTAATACATGTATGTACGCACATGTGGATACTAATTCACGTGTGTACAACATCCGCGATTGGTTCTGTGTCGGTTACATATTAACCCATTAATTCTTAATCTCTGGTGCTCAGCATGTATAATGATGTGCCGTGTCAAGTATCTTACTGCTTGTACTTTATAACGTTCCGTTATGTAGCTTCCTAACTGCCAAACGCATGCACGCGTGAAAACAAGTTTGGTCATCTAAAAGAATTACAAGAAGGCATGCTCGACCTAGCAGTATCATCAGTTGTTTTTAGTTTCAATTATGCTAGTCAAGCAAGAAGCTTTATTAAGAACATGTTGTGTGTAAGCAATAGTCAAGTGTCCGCACACCTAGATATATGACCTCTAGGTTTTCCGGAATGCTCTCGCAGGTTATTAATTCTTTACATTGCTTCTAAAAATGTAAACATTTTTTTCCAATAGAATTGCACAGTTATTCATGGGTTTTCATCCTAAAAAGGATCAGGCTCGTTAGCACTCTGAATTTGCTCGATAAGACGTTCTAGAAATTGTCCAGCTAGTTATTTCCTTAGGCAAGGTTATAATAGATGATATACTTGATTAAACTCTGAAACGCTTCAATTTTGATAATTAATACCGACTTTCTGGTTTGGCTTTAATTGTCAGAGAGTATGTGTGCTTACCGGAGAGAGAAAGAGAAAGCATTCCCCGTGGGGCATGGTCACACCGCAATCCCTTTCCCCTATTTCTTTATTCCGTCAGGATTTCAAGCATGCATACACACATCTCCTGGCATGTTTTTCAAGCCAGTGGGGCTGATATTTCAAATGTAAATATATATTTTTTATTATTTATTTAACTTTATTCATTCACTCATTTTTAATTTGACCAGAGAGAGAGAGAGAAGGTAAAAAAGCAAGCCACTGGGTCCAGGATTTGAACTGTGGTCAGCCATGTGGGAGCATCCAGCGCCTTAACCACCACTCCACCCGCTGGTCCCTGGGGCTGGTATTTTAACCACAGTTGACCATATGGGATCCGGCTCCCAGTGCCAGCACTTAACCACTACACTATCGTACTAACCCTGCTTTTCTTTTAAAAAGTCTTTCACCAGTTCGTTTTTGAACTCTCTGAGGAAACAGAGCTGTATTTTTATAAAAGAATTCATTGGCGGGACCAGCAATTAGCGTAATGGCTATGTCGCTGGACTCCCATGTAGTCGACCGCGGTTCACGTCCTGGACCTGGTGACTTAAACTCACGCCGGGTGCGTGTGCGTGCGTGCCCAAGATCCCGAGAGGAGAATGGAGGAGAAGGGATTGCGGCGTGGCCATCCCCCCTGGGGGGTGATTTCTCGCTTTCCATCTCTCTGTCTGTCTCTGTCTGTCTGGCGAGCGCACGCGCCCTATAGCAAAAACTTCTCAAAAAAAAAAAAAAAGGATTCATTGGCCATTTGATTTTCTCTGAGACACTAAAATTGTATCTTAGTGCCATGCTTCTTCTTTTTTTTTTTAAAGGTTTATCATACTTTAAAAAAAAAAGAATGAATTAATTTTAATTTGACCTGAGAGGGTTAGAGTGAGAGAGACAGAAAGTGAGAAAGCAAAAGCCACCAGGTCCAGGCCTAGAACCGTGGTCGGCCATGTGGGAGTCCAGTGCCCTTAACCACCATGCCACCTGCCGACCCTGTTTATTATTCTTTTTTAAAGTTTACTTTTTTCTTTCATGAGAGGGAAAGGGAAATACGGAGACGGGTACCAGGTCTTACCATGTCGTGAATCCAGCCAGCTGGGAGTGTGGGCATACCCGGCATGTTCATAGTGACTCCGGATCAAAGCCCGGGGCCTCTTCCACGGCTGCAGTATCATGCAGCAGCCCCGTACCTCTTGCAGCATTGCAGCTGAGCCTAGAAGTTGATTTTTCTCCTCCGCTGGTACTTAGGGCATAACAACCTCCCTGCTAGGAAAAAGGAAGTTGCAAATAACAGCATTTGCTTGTTCAAGAAAAGTGATCACTATGTTTGGGTTCGCAGAGCTTCTGGTAACTTAGAGGTAAGGCCTTGGAAGGGTTGAAGTCTCCTCTCCCCTCACCTTCTACCAGAAAGGACTTCTCTCTCGAGTTGTTTACTACAGTGTGTGATGTGGGGTGGGAAGCGTTCTTTGTGACTTGGGGTGGATTTTATTATTTGCTTTTCTCTGCGTCCCTGGAGTCCTCATTCCTTCTAGTATGATCCTCGATCCTCGTGGGGAACATTCCTTAGACATTTGTCTCGTGTAAAGTGCTGTATTTCATTTGCAAAATTAGTAGGGACGTGTTCAACCTAATACATTTCATTTCTTGTTTGCTCCCTGGTTTCAAATTGATGAGGACGTTTAATCTTATGACTAAAATGTAAGATATTTCTATTGCTGGTCGATTTCATCTTCTCTTTCTCATCTGTCATTGTCATTATGATTTTTATTCATTTAATACTCTAAGTGGAATAATAAATGGGTATTGGAATTAATTTGAAAGGTGCTCAGATACAAGGCTGACATCTAGCTCATACATTTTCTTTTGACCTTTGCCTTTTGGTTTCAAAGAACACTTTTTTTTTTTTTTTGGATTCAGTTTTATTTCAAGTAATACCTTTAATTGCCTATTGGGTTGAACAAAAATTTAATAATAACTTAAAAAAATTATGCCAGAGGACGCATGTACACACAAGTTGGGGGGTGAGAGGGAAGGAGACAGAGCGAGAGAGAAAGCACTTCACAATGACCCTGCAGTCCTCCGTTCTCTGATTCTCTGTCCTGTCAGGATCCTGGGTGTGCACTTGGTATATTGCCTCCAGGGCTGGGATTTGAACCCTAGTTAGGCATGTGGGATCCCGCTTCCTCTGCACAGCACTTAACCATTGTGCTATGGGGCCATCCCAAACACTTAGAATATTCTATTTTAAATTTTTTTTATCTTTATTTTTTAAATGATGAGTTCTGCCTTACATATAGTCAATGTATGTTTTTGTGAGCTACAGCTCCCCCCCACCCCAAGGTTTGGCCCTAGGCCGTGTGCGCTTGCTGGAGAGAGACAGAGAGACTGTGAGAGAAAAAGTGGGAAAGCACCCCATAGGGAAGATGGCCACACTGCAGTCCCTTCTCCTCCCTTCTTCCCTTGGGATTTTGGGCATGCATGTACACGCACCTGGCGTGTTTTTCAAGCCACTGGGTCTGGGACTTAAACACAAAGTCAGGCATGTGGTGTCCAGCCTCCTTCACCTTTACAACATCTCCTGGTCCCATTTTTTCTTTATTTTTGATAGTTTAAGTCACTTCAGGTTTAGAGATTCTGACCCTCTGCATGATCAAGCCGTTGCTGATGGTCTCTTCAGAATGTTTTTATTTCTCCAGGATTTCTGTTTGATTCTTTTTTAAGATGTCTATCTCTCTATTGAATTTCATTTCCATGTCATGCATGGTTTTTCTCATTTCCTGAAATCGTCTGTCTTCATTTCTCTCGTATCTCAGTGAGTTTTGTTGTCAGTGTCCTAAATTCACTTCCAGCATTGCTGTGATTTCCTGAGTCTGCCCTGTTGCCTGTGGGGAGTTAGTATGTGCCTTTGTGGGAGAGAGAGTTTCATTCGTTTTTTTTTTTTTTCCCTTGTGTCTCTGCACTTTTATATTTTAAGCATATGATAGAGTACTTCTTAATTTCTGGATTAGGTTTTTTGTTTTGCCATGGGGCACATAGTGCTGGCTGGAGAGACAGTGACTGGGAAATTGAAAAATCACCCGCCGGGGGGATGGCGCTGATGCAGTCCCTTCTCCTCCATTCTCCTCCTGGGATCTTGGGCACGCATGCACACACACCTGGCAAGATTTTCAAGTTACCGGGTGTGGGAGTTGAACCATGGTTGGGCCATGTGAGAGTCCAGCAACTTAAGACCATGTCACCAGCCAGCATCTCTGGATTTCAGTTTCATAGGTAGTGTTTTTTTTTTTTTTTTAATTTTTATTTATTTATTTATTTAATTCGAGCCTTTGTTATTGAAAACTTTGTGTATTTTTTTTTTTTTAAGACCCAGCCCCTGCCCTCAGGCAGGTTACAGACCAGGTGCCTTTTTTTTTTTTTTTTGAGAGGTTTTTCGCTATAAGGCGTGTGTGCTCGCCAGACAGACAGAGAGAGACATAGAGACAGAAAGCGAGAAATCACCCCCCGGGGGGATGGTCACGCCGCAATCCCTTCTCCTCCATTCTCCTCTCGGGATCTTGGGCATGCACACACACGCGCCCGGCGTGAGTTTTAAGCCACCAGGTCCGGGACGCGAACCGCGGTCGACTACGTGGGAGTCCAGCGACATAGCCATTACGCTAACTGCTGGTTCCCCAAAACTTTGTGTATTTTCAGAGACACCAGTGGAGGCCTGGGGGCCTCCCGGCCAGTGTTTTGGGGTTCTAGGTGGCGTTGGTGTTGGGCACTGGTGTTCCCTCTGTAGAGGGTGTGGGTTGCCTTGACCCGATGGCACTTGCTGCTTCC